AATTTTGAGTTATTAAAGATTTTTTAAAAAAATAACAAAGTTTGTTTTGATTTTTATATTACACCTAATCTTGACGTATACTGCAAATTAGTGATTTTATTGGTTAAAATTGATGTGGTGTTGAATACCACTGGTGTGATTTAGTAAAACTGAATTTATAAATATAATAAAAAAATTTTAAGCTTTATAATTTAATTATAATTAAAATAACAAATATTAATTAGTAGTCTATAATTAAAGAAAATAAATTTTATAGTAAAAATTAGCAAATATTTACTAGTATTATATTATATTTTGGTACTCTGAGAATTTATTGCATATGGATACAATCAGAATCAGGATTTATATAAGTGGTATGATACAAATTTGCATAAAAATTAATTAAAAGTCTAATTTAGTAGTAGTCTAATATATGTAACCTGGATAAATATATATCTAGAGATAATCTTATACTATTTATAATATGATCTCTGCTAATAAAAGAGATAAGTTTGGCTTTAGTAAAGAAAATTCTAAAGCATAAACTAAGTAGTTGCCCTTGTAGTATCAAAGTGAAAAGGTAGCAGTATCTGGTATGATACACTAGCACCAAGTAAGTGTTCTGTCTAAATAGAAACAAACAAAACTCTATGAATTAAAAAGCAATATGATACAAAGACCTGGGCAATTGAACAGCCTTATTTATCAAATTTAGTTAAAATTGAACTTGTACTGTATGAAGAAATCCTAGCAAGTGAAACTTACCATGATCAGTACTTTAAGATGTATTGGTGACAATTATTGTGTTGAAAGTTTATAATCAAATATTGTGAAGAAAAATCAAAAAGACATTGTTAGTGAATAGATAAGGGCAATAAGAGATGAAACAAAGAACCTACCTGGTGTTGATAAAGAGAAAATAACCAAAAACCTAGTATTGCTAATTGGTGTTGTGGTTAGAGTGATTATCAAAATTGTAAAAAAATCTGAAGTTGGTGCAAATAAAATAACATTGCTTTAGACCTTGGCTGTACTATAAATATAGAAAGCCAGAACACATAGCTCATGATTGTCTAGTTTAAAAAGTTTAGAAATAAAAGTTCAATAAAAAGCCCAGAAGTAAATAATATAAGATTTATAAGATTTGAAGATTTAGACAATAATAATACCAGGAAACATGAGAGTCTCCATTGTTTATTTCATATGTTTCATCCTTTTTTGCTAGACAAACTATCACATCCTTTTCTTCACTTTTGTTAATATTCAATACATTGATATTATCTCTATTAGCAGCTTTCTGGTAATCAAACATTTCATTTTCATAATCTCTAATGGTTTTTTTAGTATTGTTTATATTAGCAGTTTTTTGATAGTGAATAAATATCTCACATTTATCTTTATCAATTCCAGTTCCATATTAATAGCACAATTCAAGATCATCTTGTACTTTTAGGCCACCTTTAGAAGATTTTTGATAATTGCCAAATATTTTAGATTTGTTTTTTCTTATCTTTAACTCCATTTTGATTACTACAATTACATTATATATTCTATTACCATATCCCATATTTGCAGATCTTTAATAATGTGTGAACACCTTCTTTTCAGAACTTCCAAATATGTTTTTTCTTTTTATTCTTCCTTTCATACTCATAATACCTTTATTTCTTATACTAATATTCGCCATCTCTTTCATTCTTAATTTATCTCCTTTAATACTCTGAATACTCACCTAATCTGAATAATAAAATAGCCCAAAAGAGTGGAGTTGTTAGTAAACTTGTTAACAAAATCAGTAAAGATGAAATGATATTATTGATAGAGGCTCTATTAGATGTAATTATGAAAATAGATATATTGATAGAAGATTTGGTAGAAACGTTAAAAAAAATGCAGAAAATTGAATGATGCTGAAGAGTTTATAGTTAATGATAATAGGGTGAAGCTGCAGATAGTAGAGTGAATGAATTTGAAAAGTACTATCAATATAGAATTAAGAATGATAAGGATTGGCATAAAGCAATCAATTATTACCAAAATCCTGTTGACAATGCTAATAAAATATTTGTTGAACATTATTACTATTATGAAAATGGTAGTGAAATGAATAAAATAATTGAATATGAAGATCTTAATTATGTCGGTGAGATTAGTGGTGCTACAAAGAACTTCAATAAAGATAAAAAGAATATATTTAAATAGTTTTTAAAATTAGCTGAAAGTGAAGATCTTAATATAAGGCTTAATGTTAGATTATGCCACAAAAAGATATAAGCACTTCTAAAGATAAAAGGAAAGCATTTGAATAGTACTTAGAGTCTGCTAAAACTACTGATAGAATGCTCTGGGATAAAGCCATTGAAGATGGATAGTATGTGAATTCTGAGATAATAGTATCTGATAAAATAAACAAAAGAATAATTAGAAATAGGTGTTGTTTATAGATAAATATAGTATTGACTGAAGCTGATATTGGGTATAGAGAATAAGATCACAAGGAGCTATAGTAAAATAAATCGAATGCAGAGACTGCCTAAAGTAGGTAACAGTAGAAAAATCGAATTTCTTAAGCAATTGTATCTTGATCATATAATCAGTTCTAATAAATTAAAAAATACAATATTTGAGAGTCATTTGAATGTGTGCAAGCTTGAAAATATGATTCTAAGGTTTGTCAAAAGTTGAACCAACATATTATTAACACAGTTGAAGAAAAAAAAATTTTTTTAGTGTTTGTATAGATGTTAAATAAACAATATATTGTATTTATTGGTATATTTAGGTAGAATTAGTTTGGTAGTAATATTGGGTATTGTAAGTGGATAATTTGTATTAGAACGAATTGTTTTACATGAGGTTAAAACTTTAGAAACAAAGTTTCTAGAGATCTAGCTTCTGTCATGGTGTATTTCGATACCTCAAGAATTTGTTATGTACAGATACAATTAGAATCAGGATTTACATAAGTGGCATGATACAAATTTGTATGAAATTAATTAAAAGTCTAATTTAGTGGTAGTTTAACCCAGATAAACATATATCTGAAGATAATCTTGTACTATATAATATGATCTCTGTTAATAAAAGAGATAAGTTTGGCTTTAGTAAAGAAGGTTTTAAAGTATAAACTAAGTAGTTGTCCTTGTAGTATCAAAGTAAAGAGGTGGCAGTACCTAATATGAACACTAGTACCAAGTGAGTGCTCTGTCTAAGTAGAAATGAATAAGACCCTGTAAACCGAGAAACAATA